ATCAATTTCATCCGACTCTACGTCCATACTGTATAATAGTTAAAAGCTTTGATATGACGGCGAGTTATAAGTCGGCCAACAATTTGATTCAGAGCTCCATCTATTTGGGGACTGTCTCCTTCGTTTTTGGTGATCACCGATTAAATTGACATGTTGCTTGTCCGTTTGCATTGAATCGAACAGTTTTACAGCCTGCGATAAAACACAGGGCATCTAAATTGCTGCTTTCTGCCTACTTTGCGTTGTTTACATTAGGGATGCCAAAAGAAGATCAGGAGAACCTCCACGTTGAATTGCACAAGGAACGCTGTTTTGTTTGTTGACACAGTGCACTTTTCTTTTTTCCACGGATGCTGTTTGCTCAAACTAAGTCTCAGCGAATTCTGATTAAATTTCATCCACAAATTGCACAAATTGCATTCACGAACAAGTGGCCCAAACTTCATTTTGGATCTGGCTTCATTTTGACCTACGGTATTTGGGTGTCGTCATTGCACTGGATTACTGTGGCATTTTGCCACATTTAGGCAGATTTTCTGGTCCAAATTAAACATGGAAGAGGCTAAAGTTATGTTCTTTGGTATACTCTGACAGGGGTTCTGTGGGTGTAGACGTGAGGTGACGCGGCGAAGCGCAAATTAAACCTAATGGTGGCCAGTGAGTTAACTTTTGAACCAGCCACAACGCACAAACTTCAACGCACAAACTCAAACTTCCACAATTTTGTGTGATCAGCCAACCACATCGAACCATACAGGACGATAGGTATTTATGAACTGGCGGGCCCTCGTGCGCACGCCGCATCATTCACCGCAGTTGAGACCAGGTAAACGGCAATGATGTCGGATACTCGCTTTACTTCTTCTCATCTCCCTCGTACCATTGGTCCGCTTGTCAACGTGCTGCGACTGTGTCACGCCATGTGACCTCTTAGGGTCAATAGCGTTGATTGGCCAACAATATATGTTTTGTTGATTGCTGACACACACACACACACACACACACACACACACACACACACACACACACACACACACACCACACACACACACACACACCACACACACACACACACCACACACACACACACACACACACACACACACACACACACACACACACACACACACACACACCCACACACACACCACACACACACACACACACACACACACACACACACACCACACACACACACACACACACACACACCACACACACACACACACACACACACACACACACACACACACACACACACACACACACACACACACACACACACCACACACACACACACACACCACACACACACACACACACACACACCACACACACCACACACACACACACACACACACACACACACACACACACACACACACACACACACACACACACACACACACACACACACACACACACACACACACACACACACACACACACACACACACACACACACACAACACACACACACACACACACACACACACCACACACACCACACACACACACACACACACACACACATATGTATATATATATATATATATATATATATATATATATATATATATATGCATGCATGCCATATATTCACGTAAATGAAGCTGTTATCCCACGAATTGAACGAAATATTATCTCCCCTTCGGCGTTTACCACAATGGCTGTTTTCGAGGCCACAATGGCGTTGGGGATGGGAGTATGGCATGATCCATGTGACGCGCTGATTCAAATTCCAAGCAATCCGCTTATCGATAACATGCCCTTTCCGCTGGGACAATCACAAACGTTATAAAAGTGCGAATAAAAGATTCGCACCAACGGAGGTACATACGGTGGATGTCATGACGACGGTGGTTGCGACTGCAGGAAACAAGCGTAGTGCTATCGCAAAGCGCTGACAGCATAATGTGGACTCGAAATGGCTAACATTGATATTCTTGTTGTGTTTTGATGGTGCTGTGGTGGCAAGACCTAGTGTTATTTTTAGACGCAACTGATCCCAAAGTTTCGCTGGAATACGTTTTTGAATAGGGAATATCCTTTTTACGGAATACCCTTCAAACCGTACAATATGCAATGGAATTAACAGAGTGACTTATTGACGCGTCCTGGCTTATTTTCTGACCAAAGGCTGACCACAGGAATGACTGACGTTCATAGCGCATATCTGCAAGACGCACAGACAAGGTCTGCGACAATGTGAGCAGCACTGTATGCGCAGAGAGCACGGCCGAGAGGTCAGATATTCGTCTTTGAGAAGCCCACTGCATAAATGTCTGTCGAGAATAGTGACTGGCTGACTAAGCGACTGGCTTGAATTTAATGCCGTTCGTGGGAGTGCCCTTGTCTTCGCAGAGACTGTCGTCTGACGTGATTAAAAGCCGTGGCCTGTAGATGCAAGGCGGACTGCATTAGATCTACCGTCAGCACCAGTGACGTCAGTAACATCTTGTTTTGTATACTGTTTGACCGCATTCAGGGTAACCAAAAGCATCAGGATGCATATTTTGCATTATTAAATGCGTCTGCTCTGAATATCTAGGCAACGTTGATGGCAAAGGACCCCATGTCTGGTGGTGAGCTTAACATAATAAGGATCACATGTCTTCGTCGTTTCAAGTCAATAGCATTTCAAAGAAATGTGCTGTAATTTCACCTATGAGTATGCCATGTCATGTGTGGCATTATGTGTGCTTTTGAATTACTTTGGATTGTAGAAATTGATGTTGCGTTTGGCGTCAGATGTGGCAATGGCCTTTCGCCAAAACTGTGTAACGAAGCTATCATCGTTTGGCTCGCACCGAGTCAACGACATTAACATGGTCTATTATACACTGATTTATCAAGGTCTTCACAGACTATAACCACAGTCGGTTTAGCCCTTTGCTCACAGAGTTGTGTACAGTAAATAAACTAAGCGAAATGGGCGCAGAGATCTAAAACTACTGACCGGGATCATGCAAGAGTCTCAGCGCATAACATCCTTTTCCCCGGTTGCCCATTGTGCCACTCAATTCAGCCGTGCCTGTCGAAACCCGCAGGAGGCCGTGTCTGTAAAAGCCGCGTCTGCAGAAAGTCGTACACATTCCGCGGCGCGGGGCTTTTCACTATCGAGCGCAGCGGTGTCTCCTGCGCACTGCACCGAGACAGCATCACTGCAGAGCTAGACTGCACCGCTCAGCAGTACCGCAGTGCGGCGCAGCCTATCAGGCAAACAGACTGCGCTGATTAACGCCAGAACACGCTCAGTAACAAATCTTGGCAAGCAGCCGGCCTGTCGGTCTGTGTACTGTTTTTCGTCCGTGACTTAGCGTCTGTTTGGTGGCGCCCGCTGCGTTGTCTGCTTTTTGCTGCGTGTTGTCTCATGACTGCGGAGTGTAGCAAGCGGTGTACGATCTGTGTCGTGTGGCACCTGCCGCGTGTCGTCTTCAATGCGCTGCCAACTGCGTGCATTTCTTTTGTTCGCTATTGCATTCACTTATTCCGTGCCTTCACTTTTGGCTGACATGCAACGTAATTGTGCCTTTTTCTTAGCTCTATAGTGCTAGCTAGCCCTTTCTCATCTACTGCAGTTCAAGCATTGATTTGTGTTCATATCACTGCCACTTCACTATTGATGCGGTTTAGAGCATTTGCCACATGTCCATATTTGCCACATGGATGAATTATTCCTCGAATCCGGAACCTCGACACGATTCCAGATGCCCCGTTTTTCATGACGCGAATACAGGGAGGGATGCCGAAGCGCCTCCCCCCCCCCTTCTCTGGCAGTTAGCGTTAAGAACTGCAGAGCCTTGCAGGTTGTTGTCAACCAGATGTGATTTATTACAAGTTTTGTGTTTGCTAGGCCCAGATCTTAACCTACTAGACCAGATCGAATGCCACCTTTTCCCAAAAATCAGACAATTTCAGTTTTACATGCCGATGGACATAAATCGTACAACGCACCCGTATGAAACTTATGCGTGTTCCTCTTTATTTGAGTATCTTGACGCGTAATTTTGCGTGCTTTGAGCAAATTGGGCTTATTATGATAGATATGATGAAATTCTCTGTGACGTGGCTGCAGAAGCATCGGCGACGCTTTTGGGGCCCTGACCACACTGGCGGTCAGGGCCCCAAACAGCAAAACAAGAGGGTGGCGAGGCGCCCCATGACAGTGTGGCTGAATACTTCTCAGCACTTTAAGACGCCTGCAGGCTTCTGAAAGAACAAAGCAAGTCGGCCACGCATCCAATCCGATTTCGGGCCTAAAGAGGTCTCTCGAATCCAAAATAGTGTATTTGTAACGGTGCAGAAGGAGTCCCTTAACTGAAAGGGCCCATTATGACCCGACTTAGCCCCCTCTTGGGCGAAATCATGCCTACGTCACTGCGCATCCCGTAAATGCGGCAGTGCCATCCTGACGCCCGTTACTGGCGGATTCGTCGCTTGCCATCCACACCGGTCGTAGACTGCCGCGCAGTGTTCCTATAGCCTTTATTCAGATGAGGTGAGGTGAATCGTTTTATTTCCTGCTTATAAGTGAGTTCTGATTATTCACGTTTTTATAACATAATATTCGTTACATCCCTATGAGTCGGCCTGTTCCCAACGTGAACAGTAAAGTTTTGTGAGTCTAGGCAACTTATTCCAAGTTCCTCGATTGAGCACGTCACGTCTCCACATTGGGGGTCGGAAGCGGGCTAGAAATTCAAAACCTCAAAAATGGAGACTCCAATCCTGCACGTATGGAACGCGAGTAGCCATGTGCTGTCCTCAAAAGAAATGGCCGGAGATGGCACACAAGAAAAATGAAACACAATAGCAGGAAATCAAGCGAACGAACTTGTCCGCAACACCACGCCTGCTAGCCCCACGCCAGAAATGACAATAATATTTATCTTGTTTAACGATGCTTGCTCCTTTCATCCACTCCTCGCGACAGCCGTGGCTGGTTAGAGATGTTACTAGGTGGCAGCCGTTTCTGGTGAAACCATGCGCTCCAAAGACATGTTTTGACTCGGTGCCTTTATTGATTGGGTAAATGTATCACAGTCATTTACAAGCCTCACTGAATCGGCGACATTAATCCAAACGGAACCCTCACTGGAAATAAACCGGTGCTTCCGTTTTAAAGTGCTCATCAACATGCATACGTCCATCAACACAAATACACATGCACATTAAACACTTTAAGTAGACAGTAAACCCAGCGGCACGAGTTGGAGCAACGCTATGTAGCGTCATCAGCGCTTTTTCGTCATGACGCCAGCCTGGGTAGCCGAACTCCGGCCCGTTCATTAGTTAGTGACGGGAGTGGCCGCCTCGGCAGACTCTGGTGGAGTGAGATCGCAGCATTTGTGACAGCGCCCCAATGTGACGTGTGTTTGTTATTGCTCACATCTCGGACGTCTCTCCGGCATCCTGCAGCCAACAACCAATCATATCCCGCCCGACGCAATGTGTTTTGCCGCATTCAAAAGTCGTGCGCGTAGAAATGAGGTTGGTGGAGAGGCGCAGAATGGAAGGTAATGTCGTTTAGTTTTCTACAATAAACCTTCACGGGAAGGGTAACCCCCACCCATGGGTACTGACATCGAGCCATTGGTCCGGTATAGGACTGAAGAAAATTAAAGGCACATGTTATCCATGTCTTACAGCCGAGGGCATTTGAAGGGCTTTCAAAAATATATGCTCATTCCGCTTACTTACGTTACGCTTAGCTTTTTTGGAATTTTACGTTTTGCAGTTAAGTTAATGTTTAGAGAATGTAAGAGCATTCTCAAAGTAAAAGCAATGAGTCCACATGTCTAAGTACCCTTTCAGTTCCATTACCTGGTGGTAAAACATGTGAAATGATAAACGAGAGGGCAGGACAGGACGTGGGTGGTCATCGCAAGCACCCCACCGATAGAAGGTGGATTGGATAAATGAAAACCTTCCAGTGCGGGCCCGCTCACATGCCCGTGGGGACAGCAGCCCCGCATTCATCGGTGGAGATTCCGCAAGCCATCTGGAGCTTAAAAGCGCCGCACTTTAACGCTGGTGCCTACTTTTCCTCAGGTTAGAGTTTCATCCTATTCATTGGAAACTTCTCAGGACCAAAAGGCAGGACCAAAAGACACTCAGGACCAAAAGGCAGGACCTGGGCCGCGTGATCTCCGCACCGGAGACACTGTTCCGAGTCGGATAAATGAAATTGGCATGGATAGCGTATGCCCGCTGGACGCCTCTGGTTCAACTTCACCAGTCATACAACAGGTCATTATGCCATCTGAACGAGAGGAGAAGCACGTCCACAGATGTGTAACTAACAGCTCAATCATCCCTGCAGGCATTTGACGTCCCCAGCAGTGAAGACGACTTTCTCGTGTTACCTCCGACGCGGGCTCAATTGTCCTCAGCGTACCAATGCTGGAGCATGTACACGCGGCGGCAGCGTAAAAGCATGCGGCTCTAGCCAAACGTCTCCACGCCCACAGACAGCTGGCATATACACGGCTGTGTCAGAGGCTGTACAGAGAGGTGGCAGGGAATAGCGCAAGTCGCCCCTCTCCTCCGACGTCGGGGGACAGCCGACCTGTGCCCCGGGGTGTCCCCGACTCCCAAATCCCCGAGTCAATCAATCCCCGACTCCCCTAGCGGCGCGGACGGTGCCACAACAGCCAACGGCGTGCTCGCACCAGAAGCAACCCCACCAGGCACGACGCAGCGCCGGGCAGAGGCCACCTAGTGATGACCCCAGGTCAGTCTAGGGACGCCGGCCAGCCAGCAGCCGCAGACCAAGCCGTTCCCTGCCCGCGGGTCCAGCGGGGGCCGACCGGAGACGCAAAGGCCGCACAAAGACACGACCAACGGCGCCTGCGAGCGAGGGAGGCGGGAGAGCGCTCCGGGCCAGGCGAAGCGGACGGGGCGACACGAGGACTGAACTGGAGGGGCTTCTCCCGAGACGGAGGTGCCTGAGACCATGAGCGTGAACACGAGACACGAGAGAGAAAAGTTTCTGCGGAGGAGCCGCGAGCGTCACTTTAGCATTGGCCGTGCACGCTAAAGCGTGCGCTCGGGGCTTTGACACCACTGCCGCCAGCGCAAATTCCTCGACGTCAAACATACTGTGGCTGGATTGTCGCCCGTCAGCGGTCTGACGTAACCTGCACCACGACCAAACATTGTTAGGTACTCTGTGCACAATACGATGCTATGGCACATGCCCCCTAAGCCTCCCACGGGTCACGACGGTCCGTTCGAATAACACGCGATAGACTTCTGACGTAACATCATAACATTCGCCCACGCTATCCACGAAAATACTCTGTCTCAGAATACTCTCCACCCAAGGACAAGGTTCTAGTGCACATCTCGCACAACCGAGCGACCGTTAAACAAGCTCAGGACAACACCACCGCTCGAGGACTCGGTGGGCAACGCTATAGCACAGCGCGACATCTGTGTTTCGCTCGGGAAGCTGAGCTTTCAGCGAAAGTCGCCTGGCATCACAGACGAAAACATGGGGCGCGGTTAAAGCTATGTCGACGCACCAAGCGCTCGTCCACGACTAAACAGGCCGAGCGCCGGCTAGAATGCTACGACTGAGGTGTGGGCCTTCCGAAGCAGCGAGGGCGGACGCCGTGGAGGCGGTGAGGGAGGGCGCCGCCACGTGGCGCCCCCTGCGCCCCTCGGCTAGGCGGAGTCGCCCTGCGGCCCGCTTGCCGCCATGCCACTCAGAGTCTCCAGCGATTTCCGCACCTGGAATAGAAGCAGCCGCTTAACATGCGCTCACATGGAAGTCGTGATGCAGCGAAAAAGACGGACCGGTTTGTTGTATGACTACGTGGCACAACACAGTAGTTCTGCCAGCTATTTGGACGTTGACCGCAAACGCAGGCAGGCGATAACGGCGAAAAACAGCGACGGGATGTGTCAATTCGCAAGCGTCATTGATTTCGTATGACATGGTTCGCTGTCATAGGCTCAGCATACACGCTAGCAGAGCTGACTGTTCGCACACTGCGCCCACCATGGCACTGAAGTCCATCAGCATCACTGGGCATAACTATGCCAGTTTAACGAAACATTCAGACTCCGCCCTGTCGCAGAACGGGTCCGTGCAGGGGTCTTCCGCACCCCGTGCAGTGCCATACCCCGGCCGCCCCGTGCCGGGCTGACCCTCTTCGGTCGCCGGTCAGGTGACAACAGGTGGGACCGTTTTTTGTTTGTTTTTACACGTTGGCAAAAACACGCAGACATCCAGCCAGCTCCAGCTAGCCTGACGCTTTCCCTAGACTCAGCCTGACGCTTTCCCTAGACTCAGCCTGGCGCTTTCCCTAGACTCAGCCTGACGCTTTCCCTAGACTCAGCCTGACGCTTTCCCTAGACTCAGCCTGGCGCTTTTCCTGGACTTTCCTCCCTTTGATTCTATTTTGATTCTTGACTTTGATCTCTAGACTTTGATTCGAGTGCAGCATTAATGAACAAGCTCCGCTCGCTATATTCGTGACCAAAGGAACGGGAAATTGGCCGCAACCATGGGCTGACCTTTTGCGTTGATCACCAGCGAGGTGGATGAATACGGCCCTGGACTTAGTCAGAAAGCATGAAATTTTCGTGATATGCTGACAGCAAATATCGGGCAACGGCTTCCCGTGCTTACTCATGTCACTGAGTTAGATTTAATTTTGATTACAATGCTCATTTTAATGGGTCCATATTGATATGTGGTTGTGCCATTTGCAGCCCTGGCGTACTCACTTGATAACATCACATAAATAATTGCCATGAGCGCCAGATATGGTCAGAGAATTGCAAAGCTAGCAATTATTTGGGGGGGGGGGGGGGCTTAGACAATGTTTTTATGGGATGCTCCCTCTGGCGAACTGATAATGTAACTGTAACGTATGTGTAAGCCATTATCACGCATTTTACACATACAGACACAACTTGTGTAGAATATTGGCATACACATGCACAGATCTGTTCATGTTTAGCAACTAGGAAACGACTGACAACAACACGCGATGCACATTTGACAAAACGACCATTTTGATCGGTCGTATTGCCTCCGCAGACGCCATAGGGACGACGGCCGATACTTTAGAGTTTTGGTCTGGGTAGCAAATGAGTCGAAAGCCAGGGAAAATTTTACATATTGCCTGTCATCGCTAAGGGGTGCTGGTGATGAGTTTTGGGTATTGTCCAACCAAGAGCGACGCCATAAACTTTGGGTTGGGGGCAGGATTTTTCAGGAGACCTCCTGGACAAAATGGAGTCTCCTCACACAGGGGCATCCTGACGGTCGTATACAAAGGGGTAGGGGTGGGATGGGGGGGGGGGGGGGGCACCGGAGGAACGCGTCCCTTTAACCAAGTGTTACATGAATCTATGCCCATACAACTAAATGTCGATGATTTAATTAACAAATCCAGAACAGAGGCCTTCTGACGGGGCAAAGTCTGAATATCGATTCATACCTCGCCTGGTTAGTCCAAAGTCTCCAGGAACGAGACAAAGCTGGCCGATTTAATACGTAAAACGAACTTGCCAGCGCCGCTTTACATGTGCAACTTGAGTTCATGGTCAATAGCCGTCATGACATAGCCCGCCAAAGACAACGGCGGTACCATGACAAACTTTTGACTTCGCCTGGCGCCGGATTGTCGCGCCGACACACGCCAAAACATTTAGCAGCTGCGCCAACAACCCGTTCCAAATCGGCTCTTCAAAGGAACACAGTTCTGTGTTGAAACGAATTTCGCGCAGAGAATGCTATCTTGGCATCAAATGGCTAGACTAGCACAAATTATCACCGCGACGCTGGCATATCGTAGCGCGCGTCACCGCCTTACAATGCGGCGAGCAGGTGTTACCCGTTACTGCTAGCGCCATGGCGGAGTTACGCCCATCAATAACGGATGACTGACGACTCACTGCATACCATTGCCAGCTGTTGCAGCTGCAAGTTCAGAGTCTTCTCAGCTTCTTCCAGACTGTTGGGACCATCCATCCTGCAACAGGACGAACGGCCCGTGTAAGCGACGTGTCTACACCGGAGCAGCAGGTGCAACGTGTCCACAGGCTATGTGTCCACAACGGAGCAGCAGGTGCAACGTGTCCACAGGCTTCGTGTCCACAATGGGGCAGCAGATGAATGTCACATGGACGACACGGGGTCATCCTGGGATCGGCCAATACAAACAACACCAGAAAGGTTTTTGATTAGGGACGCGCCAAACGTCAACTGAACCGGCACAACAGCGATCGGTGTGCCGAGTGATCAAAGCTCATGGCGGGTAGCCGATTCATGGTGCGTCAAAAACGCCAGTTTAACCACCGAGAGAAATATTCGCGCATTTAGTGACGACGACATTATAAGTGGTCTTTGTTGACGACTGAAACGCCGGCCTGACGCCTCCGTGGCAGCGTCCGATCGCAACTGAGCCATCGGTGTGCTCGCAATCGGCCCGGTCAGCATTGGCCGCCCACCGGGCACCGGCGAGAGGCGTAGCCGTGGAGCCGTCTGGCAGCACGCGGTCCTCCCTCCCGTGACGGAGCGTCACGTGACCCGGTCCACGCCCGGGGCGGGGGTGGGGCGGCGGGCCTCCCTCACCCCGCCCGCGGCCGCCATTTTAATGGCACGCGCTCGGGTCGGCCCCGAGCGGCGACATCGATTGGCGTGGCACTGGCGGGACATCGGCGCAAACACAGACCACCGCCCACCGGGACCGGCATGACGCAAGCACGCGTGGGCCCGCCGCGCCGGCCAGGCCTGGCCTGGCCCGTGGCCGGGGTCACCGAGCGGTCAACGCCAGGATGCCGATAGGTCCCCGACAGGTCGCCCGCAGGTCATTAACAGGTCACCCGCACGTCATTAACAGGTCACCTCCAGGTCATTGGCAGGTCGCACACAGGTCATTAACAGGTCACCCGCAGGTCACTAACAGGTCACCCGAAGGTCATTAACAGGTCACCCGCAGGTCATTAACAGGTCACCCGCAGGTCATTAACAGGTCACCCACAGGTCATTAACAGGTTACACGCGTGTCATCGACAAGATAAGGACGGGTCCGGTCTCTATGTCTGACGAACAGTATCGGTGATCTACTCTGTCTTCTGTAAGTGTCAAAAGATACGCAGGTCAATGACCACTCCGTCTTTGTGCCGAGGTCAGAGACCGATTCCGAATCTGGGTCAAACACTGTCTGTCTTCGGACTGGTGACCGAATCGATCCTAAGGGTCAGTGATCAACCAACGAAATGGATGGCCCGGAGTGTCGTAGACCAGGGCTGACATGCTGAACACTTCAGCGTCTTTCTGATATCAGCATTGGACCATCAGTCCAGCTGCAACAACGCCACGGTATTTACGCAGAACTTATGTGTAGTGCTTGGTTTAATTTGTATGCTACCTTACCGGGCTATCCGCCATCGTGCTATCTGCCATCATCAGAAAGGGGCCCCTAGCTATGCAAGTCAAAGTTATCCAAGAGAAAAAAAAAACGGTAAAGGTTTTGTTTACTCCACCTGGGCTTCCAGGTGCGTTACAAGTATGTAGCTGAATGACGCCCAACGTGAAAATGTTAATATGAAATTACAGGAAGCTGCGGTTGTAAAACACGCCAGACAGCCAGTGGGAGAGGGAAAGGAGAGTGAAAGAAGAGAGAGAAAAGAGGAGAGGAGAGAAGAGAGAGATAGAGAAGAGAGAGAGAGAGAGAGAGAAGAGGAGATAGAGAGAGAGAGAGAGAGAGAAGAGAGAGAGAGAGAGAGAGAGAGAGGAGAGAGAGAAAGAGAGAGAGAGAGAGAGAGAGAGAGAGAGAGAAGAAGAGAGAGAGAGAGAGAGAGAGAGATAGAGAGAGAGAGAAGAGGAAAAGAAAGGAAAAGAAAAAAGTACGGTTTGTAACAGGACACAATGTGACTTAATCCACAGATCGCATTAGCGAGCATAAAAGTTAAAAAACGACAGTGGAAACAATGAAAGTTACGATTTAAGCAACATCCAGACCTTTCCCACCCCACAAAACTTGTTTTTCATGTCAGTGTCGGACGGCCACGACAAAGCGATCTACCTTTACCATGCGATCGATGGAAGGGGAGGGGCAGGGCTGGAATGTCATGGACCTTCGCCGGCACGACCGTTATGCTACAGGTCGCTCCTCAGTGTTGTGCACCGTTTCCATGGCAACGGGGCCCATCGTGGAAGGGAAGGACTGCGTAGAAACACGATCAAGTAACAAGAATAGTGGAAGAAGTCCGCGAAACATGCAAGTCGTATAAACTGCGATGGTATGCAAAACAACAGGAGCATAAATAACTAGCGGTTGCACGTTACGTTGGGTCATGGCCTTCACCGACTTAGAACGCATTAGCTTGTCAAAAATATGCTATCGCACCGGAGCCTGACGGCTACAGTATGTGCCGCACGGCAGAGTGCATTTAGAGCATTTTAATTGTGCACAATGTACCCGTTTTACTAGCATATATTATCAACTTCACAGAGGTCACGCGACTTTTCAATTCCTTGTTTTCAACACAGCACCAAACCAAAGACGATTCCTTGGCATGTCAAGTTGTTTCAGCAGTGAAAATTTAGCATGATCAGACCTCCTTTTGCTGTAGCATCTGCTGCAACCAATTCGCTGGACGTGGGTTTACATGAACAGCCTATGCCGCCTATTTTGTACTATAAAAACGGCGGCGTACCTTTTAGTCGGTACGAGACGGCAAAAATGTATCCCTAAAATAAGTGGCAAAAATACATCATTAAAAGTTGGAAGAAATGAGCCTCATTTGGTTGTTAATGCAGAGAAAGTTTTCTAATTCGAAAATGTTATTTTCTGCTTGAAGCAAGCATATTTTCTCCAATCTTTCCCGGTAGGTTAAAATTTCTTCCCGAAGAAAATTTCAAAATTTCTTGCCGTCTCGACGGGCGAAGCGTAGCATTCCTGCGCACCATTTTCTTCGCTTCACTTACTTCCAATTAAAAACCAATCTACTGTGTCTATTATTTTCTTTGCTTTTCCAGCGTGTCATAAAATGTTTGCGATACACTTATTAGACTAAATGTGTGCTCAATTACTTCATTGAAAACAATTTGGAGTTCTATGGGGAGTGGAGGTCTTGCAGCATCGAAATGCATTTATAGCATGCATGCATGCATTGCGATACCATTACTAATATCATGCAATTAAATGGCATGGGAGCTCAACACACTGTTCATTACGTACAAATATGGAAACCTTTCAATGAAATGTCACGCATTAATTTTGATCACTCCCTTGTGCAGTTAGTACAGTGACTATTCTCCAAGGGCATTTTGGCTTTGGGAAGCATAACTTATTTGGACACTTAGTTCACTGCAAGGCGGTGTTTACAAAATAAGCATATACCCGTGGCATGTTACATGGACAAGTGACGCACGTGTTCAACCTTCCACCAGTGCACTGCCCGCTAAATGGCTTACGCAGTCCGCTGCGACAACCACAAACGATGACTCCTACTGACGTCATTTAAGCACCCATAAATGGCGGCACACATTCTGCCCCCCCCCCCCCCCCCACTCCTAGTGCAGAGGTGACATGGTTGCTGATGTTTGTATGCACCTTTTCACTTTTGGAGGTACCTTTTCCCTTCGCCCTTTACCTTTTCCGTTTTGGTAACTTTTTTAGGTACCTTTTCCATCATGTTATTTTCCATGCCAATTTTGAGGATCACATAAGATAGTGCTGTGCCGAACCATGTACTACGTAATTTAAACTCAAATCTAATTAGAGCTATTTTTCATGTACTTTGTTGGTGCTGCAGTGACACTCCAGGGCCATTTATGTACAAAACTGGTCATGAGGTCACCTAGTCAAAACTAGCCGCTGGTCACCAGAGTTCATTTTTGAAGTATGTCTCACAGGTTGTTCGCTTCCTTTCAATGTTTCGGCTGGAACCTTTTATTGATTTACTTTGCTTTGCCCAGCTGCCATTCACTACCTCAACCAGGCGGAGCCACTGTGTGGTAGCGCAGAACACCTTGCATATAACACATACAAAAAAATTATTTGGCTTCATCATCTTCGGCTACATGAACGCTTATCCAGCGTACTGCCATTAACCGCCACCTGCGGACGGATCTCGCAGCACAAGCTGCAGTAATGAACTGGGCCCACCACTGCATCGACCCCCAGCTGCACCTGGTCTCCTCGCCTCATTTATGCCCACGCTGTCTCACCAAAGAACTTCCTATCAATTATCCACAGACACGGTCGTAAAACTTCGTCGAACCGGCTGTAGTGTTGCGCTCCTAGCAACGAATAAACAGAGAGGCGGCGCCTCTGCCCACCAGCGGCTTGCATCGATTTGATGTAGTCATGGCCACACGCCACAACGCCTGGCCCGAAGCTCTTTGCCGAACATCGCAGCTGTCGATAACGAGAACCGATGGCCAATGCTTCGCGCCGCCCTCGGCCTATCACGAGCTGTTGCACCGGCGCCATGGCTCACGAGTGCTGCTTGCTGACACTGGGCAGATTCGGGGGGTAGAGCTGACGGGGCTGACCACCGGCCGTCCCCCCCCCCCCCCCCGAGGTCCTGGCTCCAACTGCGGCTATGGACCCTACATGACACAGCTCGTGATGTTGTGCCACCAGCACGTACTGAGCAGTAGCAGGTTCTGTGTCGCTTGTGCTGCCATTACTGTTACGTACAAACGCTCCGCGCGCCGCTGCGTACTGACCGCTGGCAGGGCCCCTCCACGCGCCGCTGCGTACTGACCGCTGGTAGGGCCCCTCCACGCGCCGCTGCGTACTGACCCCTGGCAGGGCCCCTCCACGCGCCGCTGGATACTGACCGCTGGCAGGGCTCCTCCATGCGCCGCTGCGTACTGACCGCTGGCAGGGCCCCTCCATGCGCCGCTAGACACTGACCGCTGGTAGGGCCCCTCCATGCGCCGTTGGATCTCCTCCATGCGCGTGAGGGAGGCGTAGGAGGAGCAGAAGATGAGCAGCAGCAGCAGATTGCAGGCGAGCAGCAGCATCGTCGAGCGGTGGGACGGGCTGCTGCCCAGCAGGTGGCCCATCAGGCTAGTCAGGCCACCCTGCAGGACCACGGCCAGCGTCCCTGAGAAAGGACGAGACACCGGGTCAGGTCAGGTCATCAGCCCATCAGGGCAGGACAGGTCATCAGGTCACACTGGGTCACCAGGTCAGGTCAAGCCCTAGGTAGGCTCGAACCGGCGGTCGATAAGGTCGGACACCTTGGAAAAAGAGACACAAGGTAGGGTTTGATTACGTAAGCACAAGTCCCCAGGCAAGGTCTTGCAAGGTCATCAGGCTGGTCAGATTCCCACTGCGCGCCAGAGACCATGCCTCGAATGGAAGATACTCAAGGCCAGGTCAGGTTGGGTCGTGAGGTAGGGTCAGGTCGGGTCAAGTTAGGTCACCTGGCTGATCAGACCAACGGCAAGCAGTAGGGCCCAGACCCTGAAGAATCAGGAGTCCCCAGGTCAGGTCAGGTCGGGTCAAGAGAAACAGACATGTCGCGCCACACCACTCAACAGAATCACAACATCCTTGGTAGTTGCATTGCTTCTACCCCTTTAGTTCCAGGCTGTGTAGTAACAGTGTGGGTTTCAATTTTTCTGGACTGATCCATGGCATTATGAGCATATACATGGGTTATTATTACTTTTTCTCCACAGACATCATGTTTCTCATCCAATTAGCGTTATTTAATGTTCATATATATATATCACAAATATTCGCCCATGTCAATGACCCTGACTGAATTCAAATGCAATACACGTTATCGAACCACGGATTCAGAGTCTTGAATCCTACCGCAAAAGTCGTCAACGTCTTTTAAGGCTGGAATCGATAACACCGCGCGTATCTTTTAATCCACTGTATCACTGCAAAATACATACATCACCCTACCATGCAGGTGGTTGAACTGAAGCTCATCACAGTTGCATGAAACTGACAGCCGCATGAGACGGCTTAATGGCCTAGACCCACGAGGTCTGATGGGGAACTCCGATCGGGAAGTACTGCGGTCACGCTGTCACGCAGGAGCCCTCGTTATCATGCCTCGCGCACGATATGTCTTATTTCGTCACGTTGATAGCGGCGTGCGAGTCGCTCGTCAACTATAGCGACCGAAGTGGCCGTTATAACTCGTGGTAGGGCGCCGTACTGCACTCTTTGGGGACGAACTCTTTGGGACGCTTTTGGGACTTTCGGGACACTTTCGGAACACTCTTGCGCTCTTTTAGGCACTATGTTCTTTGGGGACGACTATAGCGACGGTAGTGGCTGTTATAGCTCGTGTTAGAGCGCTGTACTGCCCTCCTTGGAGGTGACACTCTTTGGGCGCTTTTGGGGCTTTTGCGACACTTTTGGGACACTCTTACACTCTTTTAGGCACTATGTTCTTTGGGGACGACTAAAGTGACGGTAGTGGCCGTTATAACTCGTGTCAAAACGCTGTACTGCCTTCCTTGGAGGTCACACTCTTTGGGCGCTTTTGGGACTTTTGCGACACTTTTGGGACACTCTTATACTCCTTTAGGCACTATGTTCTTTGGGGACGACTATAGCGACGGCAGTGGCCGTTATAACTCGTTTCAGAGCGCTGTACTGTCCTCCTTGGGAACGACACTCCCTGCTTGTTTTTTGGGAAACAACATGGCACCATTGTCGCTGATGACTCCCCTGGGAGAGCGCTGTGTGTTGTGGATATTTGTGACAACAAACATCACCACAGAGGCTTCGCTACTGGGCCAATTTGGCTGCCACGCAACTGGCTGTAGCGCTAGGGCTACCAAACCATGGGACGTGAACAGGTGCATCACCAATTCGTGCATTATTACCGCAACGCCAGCGTTTTACCTGTCGCCTTCATAATCAACACCCAGCTCCGGGAGACACGTCATAGTGGAGTATCCCCGACTCCTTACGACTATTACCATTAATAGGCCTTCTCCCGAGATAGCTCGCGGATAACTCCCGAGATAACTCACGGATAACTCCCGAGATGACGAACGGCGCGAGTGCAGGCAGCATGTGCGAAGGGATCTCGGAGTACGCGTTTGTGCAATGTTCATGGTGCGTCAAAAATGCAAATGGTAAATGACCTTTAGGTCATGAGGCAGGGTTCCCCATTACCCTGGCTCCACATAAGCCAAGGAAGGAGTCGGCGCCAGCGCACCCTTCCACGCGACGTCCCGAAAACTCGCGAAGGTGGGGTCAGTACGTGCAACGTAGGGTTCACCGATACCCCGCACGCGAGCGCCCACTACCATAAACCATCTCGATGGAGGCCAGTGCTGGTTTTACGATCGTCACTGCGTGCCGCAGACGGGCTGGTGTTAGCGCAGGTCACGCGCCGCCGCACGCGCTGCCAGGAAGCCCGTCGCCTCCAGGTCCAGAATGAGGTCGGTCTCGACCTTCTCGGCGGCCAAGCGGCTGACGCAAGCCGCCGCCGTGGCGATGCCGGACCACCTGCCGGCGCCGACGCTGTGCGGCGTCTGCACGGCTGGGTGGCACGTGCCAGTGTTGTGGCGAGTGCAGCGCTGTGGCGGGTGATGCGACGGGCACAGCGTCACGAGTGTGCGTAGGTGTGACGCGGGTGACGCCGTAGCGTGACGTCGGTTGTGGTGTGTCACACCACGGTTCGTTACGTGCCGTGCAGTCTCGTGTGCGGCGCCGTTATGAACTCAGTGCCGTGGCGTGATTAATGTTATGACCTGTTTAATGTGGCGTCTACCGCGTAGTGTTAAGTGCGCACGGGCGTCACGCAGGCAGGACCTCGGAGCGCGCACGGTTTTAGCGTGCCTGCACCGTACCGCCGCAATGGCACAGCCCTCCAACGCGCGTGCCGGTGTCCGTGGGAGGTTTGCCGTTCACGACGGACTAAGGTGGGCTCTTGCTGGCCTGGCTTCCAAGCGGCAGAAGGCAGGGGCTGGGGACAAGGCGTCACTTCGAGGGACGACTTACCAACCAGCGCCCGCGGCCTCACGCTAGCGCGAATGGTCTGCTTTTTAAGGGGCCATCCGGCCCGGCGATCCATCCCGAGAGCACCGACTCGCTCTGTGTCACCAGTGCCCACACGCCACACTTCAAGCACGCTCACCAGTGCCGGTTGAGTGGGCCCGAAGGATCGTGATAGGCCCGCTGTACGCCGAGTGATGCGGGGGGATGCTGACATTGCGCGCGCGGACAGGATGGCTCTACGGGAAGACCGCAGGCTTGCCCTGCGGAAGCGTCCGCGCACCCCTCTGCCGTGTATGGCACGTATCTATACGCCACTCACAACACGGGTACGGACAAAAGCCGCTCCGATGGGGTGGTTTAAACGTTTAAAAGTTTACACGTGATGAGGTGATTTGCAGTTTAGTTCAATGGCCGAAATAGTTCAATGCAATAAAAAGGTTACAATAAATACTTCATAAGTATGCTTGTGCAATGGCATGTTTGGGCTGGTGACGGGTACACTGGCCTTGCCCCGGTTGGAGGCTGGCCAGTGGAGCGTGAGGAGAGGACCTGTGCCGTGACCGCGGTCAACACCAGCACGCGGCGAAGACGAGGCCATCGATCAAACGGTCCATTGATCAGCCGGAAATGAAGATAATACAATCGCCGGGAGCGAAGCCCAGCACGAGGACACGGAGACAAGGCGGCCGCCGGGAGCGAGGTCTCAGCAAGAGGACACGGAGACGGGATGTCGCCGGGAGCGTCGGCCCAACGCGAGGAAAAGGAGACAATACAGCCACCGGAAGCGAGATCTCAGCACGAGGAAACGGAGATAACACAGCCGCCGGGAGCGAGGGCCCAGCACGATGAAGCGGAGACAATACAGCCGCTGGGAGCGAGGACTCAGTACGGGGCAGCACAGACAGGCAGCAGGCTTGATGCTCCCGTCTCGCTGCAGACCGTGCTTACAGACAACGCAAGCACTGCCCGCTACCCTCGCATTCCGCAGGATGTGCGGTGCCATGTGAGATGCCATCGGTGCTGGCCCAGAGGTTCTCACCGACTGACGGTGAGCTCATGTGAGCAACACAGCTGACGTATTTAGAGCGGGCAGAGCACAGTGACAGATGCTTCCCACAGTCGTGAAGACGTTCAGCACAGCCCACAAATTCACTCTGTTGGATTCTAACCGAGTATGCATCCCACGCGGTGGCAATTGTATCACGAACAGCACGCAGCGGACGCGTCGGTTGTCGAGCCAGCCAAAACCGCGGCCATAGGACGCTGCTGACATTCTGAGCAGTGGGCAGGCTGAGCAAAGGGGAGGCTGAGAGTCCTACGCCTGCGCAGCGCTCAGGCTGAAAACCCGACCGCTGACGTGGCAACTGAGGGCACTGCAACTACACGAGAAACGACACGGTTGCGCGTATACCTGGGAGAACGTGTATCGCACACGCAAGGAACTGTTTTTCTCCGCGTAGATATCCACCCAGTTGACCTCAGAACGCCGAGAGCATCGCCAGGCGTTCCTTGCTGCAGCGCTGACTCTCACACCGCACAGCGCCGTGGTCCACCTGAGCGTGACCCGCGGCCAAAACTTGCCTCGCCGTGACTGTGACGGCGACCACGCCCCTTTGCACACACGGCAGCAGCAGGCGGCCCACTTCGGGGCGCGTGCTGACCCCCCCCCCCCCCCCCCCCCGGTGACCTTTGGCATCGCCCCATCATTTAAGGTCGGCTCATCGATCCACTCCGCCAGGCGGCTGCAGACGGGCGCGCGTCCTGGCGGTGACCTCTGGCAACTCCCCGCGGAACGTCCGCGCCGCCGCCCCGCAGACGGCGCGGGCATCAGGGTCACCCGACGGCTTTTACGGCCGGTCATCGCCATCAGCAGCCGGAGCGGCGCTGGGGGATGTTGGCGAGCGCTGGTGAGGGCACGCCAGCGGCGACACGAGCTGGGGCCGGGTGGCGCCGGGGGGTGGCGGCGGCGGCCAAGGAGGACGCGCCAGCATCGACGCGAGCTGGGGCCGGGTGGCGCCGGGGGATGGCAGCGACGGCCGAGGAGGACACGCCAGCAGCGTCACAAGGCTTACGAGCTGGAGCCGAGACACATCCAGCACCGACGACGTGGCTCTTCGCAGCAGCCAGTCTGGTCTCAGTTAAGCTCAGTCTGCAGCTGTTCACACGCGCCAACAGTTAAGCCCCTCAGCGGCCGAACTCTCCTCAGCCTCGCAATGGCACTGGTGATGGAGCTTGCCGCGTCGAGATCCCCCCCCCCCCTCCTCCCTCCCTCTCCCCATCCTGAGTATAGCGATATAAATTCGCCAGCGTCCATTAGAGTTCATCGTAATGTCTAGCGAGCTATCTTCAAAAGCACACAAGCCAAATAACGCTGCTTAAGCAGTGCCTGGATCTCGTATATGCGTTCAGACTCGGACGACGGCAGCGATTCGTTATACGTAAGATTGAGGAAACGCATGGTAGTCTGGTACTTGGCAATGTAGCACAGTCCTTTAAATACCAACTTGAAAGTAAAGCTTTTAGCAACAGCAAAAGGCGACGTGGATTTCATAAAGCACTAAAATAGATCCATATCCATTAGTTTCGTCCAATGCTGAGCACGCAAACGTGGTCTAAGGGCGTAATTTGAGCACCGCATTTATGCTATGCACGTTTAGAAATAATTATCTAGTCATTGGGACGACCCCTGATGTTCACCGGTCTACTCGTCATCCTTAAGATACCGGTCACCGAGTACTTTCGGCTTAGCGGCCCGCTTCCGACAGCCCCTAGCCACACAACCGTGGATTGGGGGGGAGGGGCGTCGGGACATGAAAGATTGAAAGGGTGGAATGTTCGTGCTGATGAAATGTTTCTGATGTCTCGTGCTTCTGGTTAGTATTTTAATCTCTTACGCCGACGTCACACTCGGTATGGGTCATCGTGGCCTCGCTGCTTAGCTGCTTGTGCTTCGTGCACACCTTGATATACCACGGCACATTGGAACATGGGAGCTGGAATGACAGGCTATCTTGCTATTTTTCATTGGCAGTGTCTGCGCGGCTCCGGAATACTTTCTGCAATAACCATGCCTTAGTTTATACTGTCTGTTCTTTCTTCACCTTCGTCACTCAGGACGATAAGCACAGCTTCTAAACGTCAAGTTCTCTCAATAAAACCAATGTTTGTTTGTCAGCGTCGCTTAAATGGCACGCGGGGATTTCTGCAGAATTTTGCATTAGGGAGTGAGGACGCGACTTAAGCAATTCCACTAATGGCCAAGTTAGCGCGACCCAAGGGCGCGAAAATTCCTGCGCCAAAAATGAAAAAAATGACGTAAAAACTGTGGTTTTGATCAATTTATCTTAACGTGACGATCTCACGGTTTCCAACTGTTGGCATATATTCAAGCAAATATCGACAAGGAAGTTTTGTAACGGGCACATGCAACTGGAGGTCATTATGTGAATGCGGCACTGTCTCCTGGTATAATGAGGGTCCATTAGTTCAACACAAGAACTTCTAATTCATAGTGCTAGGTAAAGCAAGATTATTTCACGTTTTATGATAATGTCAAGGCACATGCATTCGCGTGCCCATAAGCAGGATCATCTAGAAGACAGTCCCTTCATCAGCATACCCCAAATCCGCTAACGGGAACCATTCTATGGCGCTCTACCCTGAACATATGCATTCATCATATCTGAGCCGATGGCTCAAGTTACCCATTGTTTTCCTTCTGCAACGTCCACTGCCACGGAAGATCATAAGCCAGTGCAAAGCACGAACAAAATTTGTAATTTTATTAAACAGACAAACACATTAAAATATGTTGTACCTCGCCGAGACTCCAAACCAGGACGGCATGATGTGCGCCTCGCAGATCCAAAAGACCACGGCACGCATGCGGTTGCGTCGACAGATCAGGCGATCCAGGTTATCGGCCTCAGCGACAAACTTGTGCGGGATGAAGGGCAAACTCCTGGCACACATCTGCCCGGCTCGAAATATATCACACATCAAAAATAAGACTGGGGGAAATTTTGAAACATACTGAGTGACATTGCTTTGGTGATGAATAAGTCACAGAGACTCAGCGCACTCTGTTTAGTTCGCGAACACACGATGTGCTCACTCACTGCACGTAGACTTCCAAACAAACTACTGTGCAGCTCCACAACATTTCACCAATGAATAGCTGTGCATGCACAATTCCAACAGGCTCTAGAACATGGCATGAACAGCGATGCGTCGAAAGAATGACATCCGCATTGTCAAAACGATTCTCTTTAAACAGTTTTTCCACTGATATAGCCACATGCTGTAAGGATAAACCTGATGAACAATATGAGGGATGCTCTTTGACCAAATGAACAACGTGCAAAGATGCGAAAAATCGCGTTTCAAGCACGCTAACTGTAACGCGCATTGCATGCAGATGGTAAATAAGGCCTCGACGAGCACCGAAGTTGGTCTGCATTTCGCACGCACGGAGAAACACATTTAGATCTGGGACACTGCCGCCGATTTCTCCCTGGCCCGCGGACGCGACTTTGCTCGTTGTCATGAAGCGCAGACACAACGCGCTTGAGGCAGGAAAGGCGCAGACCGGTGCGTACGTTCCGGTGACTCGCATTAAATCCACGTGCTTTCTTTCCAAGCGAGAACAACGCTAAGCCACCATTGCCCGAAGCAACATCGCGATATGTCGCACAGTTCGCCGACTTAGGACTGAAGAAATCCCTACAACAGACGGAAATGAACGAACGCTCGGTCCGAAAACTTCTCGAATCGAGCACTCATATCCAAGGTCTTTCCATGCCAAGCGCAATGGCCACCGACATATCCACCACTCCTGCCAATCACGATGTCGATGTTTCTGCTTGACCTTCACCGGAGGGTCGTCCCCCGGTCACCGACTCGTCCGACCCCAGCTCAGTCGATCATCTTGTACAGCGCTATCGAGAAGATCATGCCCAGGATCATGATGCAGGCGATGCCGATTCCAACCCCGCCGACCACCTTGGCGTGGTCCTTGACGAACATCTCCACCTCCGCCCGACAGCCCTTGCTGTAAGCGTTGGCGGTGGTGCAGGCGGCGGTCTGGTCGGCGCAGCACGACTTGGGTATGCTGGTGCCCCACTCGCTGGCCGACTTCACACCGCAGCACTCCAGCTTCGACTGTGCCGTGTCCCACGCCTGCTTGACGGCTTCGTTGGTTGAGTACTTGGCCATCGTTTCCGTCAACTCCTTCTCGATCCTGCTGCCTACCTCGTCGCGGTACACGTAGGCCAGGATGCCGGCCGTCAGCAGGAAGATGAAGAGGATCAGCAGGATGATGAAGTAGGTGAGCAGCATGCACTTGATCTCCTTCAGAGCGCCCACGCAGCCCAGAAACGAGATGACGATCACGATCGAACCGGCGAAGATGAGCAGTATGGCCGCGTTCGAGTACGCATCGGTTCCCACCATCTCCCTGAAGTCATCCTTATCCACCAGCGTCCAGATTCCCACCGTCAGCACCGTCACGCCGCCCGCGAAGATCAGGAAGTTGGCCAGAAACAGAAAGTACTGCATCATCTTCCCGCAGCCTTCGATGCCCTTTCCGAACCCCATGGTGTCGGCCTCGTCGCTTCTGGCGGGTGTGGGATGCGGAGACTAACGACCAACGCTCGGCGGAGCAGCAGCCTCACGCCCGGTTGTGTGGGCCGATGTCGAGCGTGGGACCACCGGGCCAACAATGCACGTCCGGCGCAGCTCCGGCCTGGCTAGCGACTGGCGTGGGCCAAATCGATTCACCGGTGGAACCGGGCCTCCCGCGGTGGAGGTGGGGGAGGGGGGGGGGGCCTTGCGTAAAAGACAGCCGCGGGAGCGAGGGCCCAGCACGATGAAACGGAGACAATGCAGGCACAGCCCGGGAACGAAAGCCCAGCACGAGGAACGGAGATAATGACAGCCGCCGGGAGCGAAGCCAGCACGAGGAAACGGAGATAATACAGCCGCAGGGAGCGAGGGCCCAGCACGAGGAAACGGAGACAATGCAGCCGCCGGGAACGAAGCCCAGCACGAGGAAACGGAGACAACGCAGCCGTCGGGAGCGAAGCCCAGCGCGAGGAAACGGAGATAATACAGCCGCTGGGAGCGAGGGCTCAGTACAAGGCAGCATAAACAGACAGCAGGCTTGATGCTCCTGTCTCGCTGCAAACCGTGTTTACGGACAACGTAAGCACTGCCCGCTACCCTCGCATTCCGCAGGATGTGCAATGCCATGTGAGATGCCATCGGTGCTGGCCCAGAGGTTCTCACCGACTGACGGTGAGCTCATGTGAGCAACACAGCTAGCGTATGTAGAGCGGACAGAGCAGAGTTACAAATGCTTCCCACAGCCGTGAAGACGTTCAGCACAGCCCACGAATGCACTCTGCTGGATTCTATCCGAGCATCATCCTGCGCGGTGGTAATTGTATCACGAACAGCACGCAGTATGACCCCGGTAATGTGATCTTATTATAACAGCGGTTTGACAGAAGTGTGACGGCCAAATGCAAAGCTCCATCGTCGCAACGTGTCAGGTCAATTTGAACTTTTCACCGAGAACCGATGCTTGACATGTTGCATCCATATCATACCTGACAAGGATTAATCTTTTTACTTAGTTGATAAGCCGTGTGGCTGCTGTGGTCCATAGAAGCGCATCCCTATCAGTTACAGTGAGGAGACCAAAATACAATTATTGCCAAGTAGGAAGTTTAAAATCCAGGTTCCCACTGTCACTACCGCCCCCCCCCCCCGGGGGGGGGGGGGGAGAAACGGAGCCACCGGGCGAGGGCTGGAATACCACGAGAGCGAAAGTTTGCCACTGCCACTCGGGTTATGGATTACATTGCGTGGGTAACCCGCCGGCGGGTTCGAATGACAATTATTAATCACATTGGTACCGCAGGTTGCCTGGTGACACCGAACAACAGCATGCATGTCACGCGGTCTAGCGGCCACGTGTGCCGCCGGTGCGGAATGCACCGGGCTTTCAATGACGTCACCGCGAGGAAGGCACAAGCTAACGTAACGCGGGATAGGCTGCTGCACGCCGGTATGCTGCGTATGCACCATATACACGATATGAGGCGTATACACCGTACACACCATATGAAGCGTCCCGAAGGGTAAGCATACGTAACCTATGAACAGCCATTACTTGCCTTCTCACGCCAACACCGACGCTTGTCAATCTGTCTCCAACGCCTCAACTTTTTGGCTTCCGCAGTAGCTGATGCGCTAGTCAACCGCCACACATCAAATGCTCAGGCCTCTATATTAAATCTGAGGTATCGTAATCACTGAAAATGGCTCACTTTGAGCAAGGCATCCAAACACTTGCTTTATTAGCCATGTCTTGCCACGAGCACATGTGATGTGCGCCTGCATCGAGCAGTGCATTCACTAAAACGCAGTAAAAAGGGTCCCGTACAAGCACATTTAGAAACGGGGGAGAAATGCACGTACTTTCTGTAAAAGCACTTGGTGTTTGAGCTGTTGGCTCTCTTAAGCACCCCATCATCCAGCAATATAACTGTTTATTGACCATGTGCAGCAGTGCTCAGTTGCTTAAGGAGTTGAGCACTATCGAAGTAAAAAATGGACGTGGAAGCTGTATCAGACCCAAGGATAATTTTGATGTTTACCTATATGGTTGCCACGTTCACATACATTCCTGGAATGTGTAAAGCGGGACGGGGAACAAGTCCCCTCATCTTTCAGGAATTTAGCATTCAACCTTGAAGGCTCTATGGAAAAACGCCTTAAAACATCGATGTTCCTCCGAGCTCTTAACCAAGACGCAATCTCCCTCACCCCCCCCCCCCCCCTCCTTCCCGATTGTAATGCAGTGACAACAATGTTGCCGTAGTGTTTTTGTACATCTAATGACTCATACTGAGTATAGGGCTAGAAACTTGTCAGCGTGCATATGGGTTTATATATCATTTTTTACGCCTCAAAAGTTGCCCTAGAACGAATAAATTGGCACTAGTTGATCACAGACGACATGGCAATTTCAGTAAGGGCGCTACACCCCTGCAGAGGAGAACGATGTAGTTTATGTGAAAACGACTTACGCACCTTTTTGAAAGCGGCAGGAAGGGCGTAAAAACTATGTCACGGGTTCAATAATCAGGCAACGCCTGCAAGACGAAGCAGCGCAATGTCAACTCGTTCAGACACGTAATGTCCTGGAAAACATTGGCGACGATGGAATTCAAATAGTTTATTTCTGAACAACACACTTGTCTGGGTTTACTTAAGAGCGGTTGGCCCGTATGGATCGGGTGGCTGTTGACCTGTTTGGATCGGGTGGCTGTTGGCCTGTATGGATCGGGTGGTGTAGATACGCTGACCTATGATGAGAGCAGGGAGATTGACAGAGTGAAGATGCTTCGGCCATAAGCAGTCTTCATTGCTGAAAACTAAAGGCTAAAGCACTGAAGAACGCATGCCATCGAAACTTCCACAGCCCCGCTGGTCTTATAGCAGGTACCAGGTACCTATATGCCTCATAGATACTGTACCAACAACCACCAAGACGATTTACAGGAATAACGTGCACCACCATCCAGCGGTCTCTCAGTAACTCAGCCTTTCGCGGGGGATAAGAGTTCTTTCCGCCGGAAGGGACTATTTCAGGGCGGTCGAGTTCAGGTGAGCGCTGAATGGCTGGGCAAGACTACGGCCAACGTGGAAGGCCTCCGTCGACGCACCTTATCACACGCCGGGGCCTTCCAACGGGGGCTTGTGCGGACGCTCAGCCGGCGTTCCCGCATGAGCGGGGGAGGGCAGGACGCTCATGGCTGATGGCCACAGCACGTCCCGGTGAGATGGGGGGGGGGGGGGGGCGCTCGTGGCTGATGGCCGCAGCACGTCCCGGTGAAATGAGGGGGGGGGGAGGAGGGCGCCCGTGGCCGATGGCCACAGCACGTCCCGGTGAGATGAGGGAAGGTGGCGCTCGTGGCTGATAGCCGCAGCACGTCCCGGTGACATGAGGGGGGGGGGGGGGCGCTCGTGGCTGATGGCCGTAGCACGTCCCGGTGAGATGGGGGAGCGGAGAGGATCGAGGATTAGGCGGTGAATGCAGAAAGTACATTAGATGCATGGGATACCCATGGACCCAATGATGCCGCTCAGAATTATTCAAAACGTTCCACTAGCTGAACGGATTTCTTGCTTATATGGTGCGCTCCACTACTATGTGGAACATATTATTATATAACATCCAAATAACATATTGCTTACAGGTAAAGACAACTTCTGACGCTAGAACATTATGCTCCTTCCGATATCTTGGAATTTCTCCAATAAGCACAGTATTCCCTCGGCGCTGACCTGCTGAGGAAGATCCTTGTGGCGCCGCCGAGCGGACGGGCAATGACTCGAACTTGACGCTGGCGCCGCTAGGTGGCTGCAGGTCGAGCGTGGGCGTCGGAGGGGTGAAGTCGACGGCCGAGTCATTCTCCTCGGTGGCCGTGGAGTCAGAGAGATCGTTCAGCACGCCCGGAGACGTGAGGAGACCCGGCTCATCGTCGATACACTCCTGAAACCATCGCGCACGCAGTCACACTGGCTGCCGACCCCCCATAGGTGGCGGCACGTCACACGGTCGTCGCCGATGATGACGGAAACGGCCCGGACGACAGCTGAGGCACACTGCCCCGAGACGTGACGGTTAGTACGCACTTCTCCCGCATCGTAAGTTTGCGTTGCACGAGCAAGCGTGCATTAAGTTTGACCTCAGGCTGTTAGGATGCATGCTTATAAGGGCGACCTTTCCAAATCCACATCCTATTTTGAAGTGCATTGCAGGAGCGCCACTGATTCCATGAGCCAAGACGCTACATAACCTACTACAAGACATTCACAACGGAACAGGAAACGGAGGGTAAATTTGCGTAGAGTTGCAGGCGCCCCCAGACCAACTGTACGCATGATCCCGACAGAACCAAGGTTCCACCAGGAACCATTAAAGTTCTACACTAGAGCTGAGAACCAGGACTCGCAGGATTTCAACAAAGTCAAATAGACTCCAATTTTAGGAACCATGTCCTCGTAGAAACGAGAGCCCGAACCCTGAAAAGCAGAATTTGAATCCTGAAGACCACTCTGAATTCTTAAATCGATTATTCAATGACGTTATGAGCCGTACGAATATTGCCTACGGTCGCATGTTTTTCATGTAAAAAGCGACACATTTATGTAGCTTCTGTAAAGGACTGGGCCATCCTTTCTCATTTGTACGTAATCATGCTTGTCCGAAATTTTGGTGTGAAAATTCAAATTTTTAAAAGAATTTATTCTAATCTCGAACCCAAATTCTAAGCAAAATCTGAGTTCACCGACACAAAGGACTTGAAGAAAAGGCTGCGAACACCCCTCGCTCGATCACAGGTGCTCGGCTGGATTCGAATTGCCAACGTCAGAGCGAATTACATGAGGTGGTTCCCTTGACAAGGATTCCGCGATCAGAACGGATTAGCCTTGCTAACTCTGTTCAGTACGAGTACGCCCCACCGCAGTAAAACCATTCGTCGCATCGGCAACAATCCGCGCCGCGAGGCCCCCAACGGCAAAGTCAGCATGATCCGCAAAACAGTCCGGGGAACGACTACCAACATCCGCATCCGAATCAACCCCAATCAGCCGCGTCACGTTCGCCGCGTGGGGCACACAGCCGCCCGCCCGCCGTGAGAAGGCGACCGGATGGCGCGCCGGCGGCCGCACCGCCGCGCGGATCCCATTACTGGGTCACTCGGAGCCGGGCTTCGCCGGAAGCCCCACGCGGAACTCGGGCAAAACGCGGCGGCATTCAGCACAAGCGGGCTGCCAGACGCTCACGTGCTCTCGCTCTGAGACGCGTGCCTCTGTTTGGCTGTGTGAAGCCGTCGGGATCGAGGGCAGCCGGCGTCTGTTCAGGCGTCCACTTCGTGGCCTGCACTGACCAAACCGCCAGCTCCGAGGACTCGGGGAGCAATTTACTGGCGCATCCACAGGAACCCGCACAACAGGGTATTACGACGGCGGTGGCCAAGCGGCACACACACACACCACACACACACACACAGCGCTATGGAATCAATGTGTAAATGGAGCAATAACCAAGACATTTCATGACGCCGAAATGATGCAATATAAAACGTATTCATTACCCCTCCATAAACAACACTTTAACAGAAATAAGCTAGCTCGGAGAAGATATATGTGTAAATACAGAAACGTTCAGTTAACAGCGAAACTAAAACCTAAGCCGAGTCGGGAAGCGGTGCACCAATCCTCGTCCCTGCCGTCAAGAGCCCGTGTACCGATCCTCGTCCTGCTGCCAAGAGCCCGTGTACCGATCCTCGCCCCTGACGTCAAGAGCCCCTGTCCCGATCCTCGTTCCTGCCGTCAAGAGCCCATTTACCGATCCTCGTCCTTGCCGTCAAGAGCCCATGTACCGATCCTCGTCCCCGCCGTCAGGAGCCCGTGTACCGATCCTCGTCCCTGCCGTCAAGAGCCCGTGCGCCGATCCTCGTCCCTGCCGTCAGTAGCCCGTGTACCGATCCTCGTCCCTGCCGTCAAGAGCCCGTGTAGCGATCCTCGTCCCAGCGACGCTCGTGCGAGCCTCACCTCCTTGCCGTTCGAGGAGAGATCGGGCTCGTCTCGACCGATCTCCTTGCGCCACACGCGCACCATGGTCTCGAAGGCCGAGTCACGGCTGAGCAGGCTGCCGAACACGTGGCGGCCTTCGCTGCTCACCACGGCCACCGCGTTGGGGATGATGCGCGCCGTCTTCTCCTTGGTGATGGCCA